TCTGTCTCTCTGTCTCTCTGTCTCTCTCTCTGTCTCTCTGTCTGTCTCTCTGATTATATATAGAAAAATATACAGACAGACATTGTTTTTTTTGTTTTCAAAATACGTATTGTATGCTTACCGTTTATTTGATCAAAAGCACAGTAATATTATACAAGCTCATAACAAGTAATATTGTTAAATATCATTACAATTTAAATAACTGTTTTCTGTTCAAATATATTTTAAAATGTAATAAATTTTTTAAAGGGTCATGTGAGACTGACGACTGGTTAAGGCTGAAAATTCAGCTATGCATCACTGGAATAAATACTATATTAATATATATTCAAACAGTTATTTTAAATTGTAAAAATATTTTACAATATTACTATTTTTACTGTATTTGTGTAAATCCTATATGTAATTTAGGAAATAGTGCATTCTTTTTTTTAACATGATTAAATAAAGCCACTGGATTTTTTATTTGTTTAGAAAAATATTAAAATAGTATAGAATATAATAGCTCACTGTTAGTATCAAGTCATTATTTACATATGTTAATGTAAACCTGAAGAATGACCCTAAATATCTTAACCCGCTTGTGGAAATGTTTCTGAATGACTCTGTGATGTGGTATTATTATTAAAACAAATGATATCTGTACTGTCACCTTTAATAACAGCCAGGAGCTGGGAGTCTGTCAACTCTACAATTTACCTGAGACCTTTGTTTCCATGACAACTATAAGCCTCTTGGGCTTTTTTTCCCCGCATTGACACTTTAAGTCTAAAAATTGAACATCTCATCAGCCAAAGAGGGTGTTTTTGTAAATGAGTTTTATTTCACGTGCACAAAGGGTTAAACAGTCTTTATTTGAAAGCTGAAAGAAAAAGGAAGGTTGTTGTGTCGAGGATATTCAGCATCTATAATTTGACCGTCTCATTTAAGGTCAGGTAATGAGATTGTTGCTAGGTGACACAGTTAAACACAGGTTTCTGACCTCGCCTGAGACTGTAAAACAGCTTGAGTTGTGTTTGATTTCGTTTTGAGGAAGCAGAGAAAGATTAGAGCTCTAAAAGAAGCTTTATGCAAATTGAAATTGGTGTAAAAGCCATGGATGGACAATAGGATGGGTAAACGTGATGCTGCTTTCAAATCCTCCTGGACCGTTCCTGTTTAAGTGTTTGAGAGTTGAAATTGTGATCGAAAGTAATTTTGAACACCTGGACAGTCTTTAGTTCTCTTTTCACGTTCCGGCAAAGCTTTTTAGCCCTAGCACATCTAAATGAACAGAAAATGAATATGATTTTTATGCTTTTACTGGGATTGATGAAACATTTCAAGGTATAGTTCACCAAAAAATGAAAATTCTGTCATTAATTACTCACCCTCATGTCGTTCCAAAGCCGTAAGACCTTCGTTCATCTTCAGAACACAAATTAAGATATTTTTGATGAAATCCGAGAGCTTTCTGACGCTGCATAGACAGCAACACAACTACCACGTTCAAGGTCCAGAAAGGTAGTAAGGACAAATTGTTAAAATAGTCCATGTGACATCAATGGTTCAATCGTAATGTTATGAAGCTACGAGAATACGTTTTGTGCGCAAAAAAACAAAAAACAAAATAATGACTTTATTCAACAATTTCTTCTCTCCTGCTTCAGACTTCGATGCACGATGGCAGCATGACATTTACCCAAATTTCCATAAATATCACAAACTGTCTCATGTTGTGACATGTCATTTTTAAAGGTCAGCCTCCATATTGTCTTATAATACTCTCATTTTGCACCGGCTACTTGTGGCAATGTTCTCAAATGACTTGTATTTGACTTTCATGAAGCAATTTCAGTGTAGTCTCTCGCTCTCAATCTCGTCCTCTCTCATCAGGGCCTGTGAGAGCAGAACGTGTGTAATAAGTATTCAGCATTTCTTAATATCGAAAGGATCCATTTCATTAATTTTGAGTGAATAATGTTCCTCAGAGGAATTTCTCAATGAAACATTAGTAGCCTTGAAATCTTAATGCTCTCATTCTTCAATTGCCGAGACGTGTTAAGTGGAAGCAATTTTATACTACAGACAGTCTGAATTTAAAGGAAAATGCCCTTCCCTTTAGGTCGACGCCTGAAGGATAATTTTTAACCAACTGAATTGTTGCAGCCTTATATTTAGTTAATCAGTTTACTTTAGTACAAGATTTTTTTATTTAAAGTACACAGTATGGGTACTAACTAAATTGAGCTGATTTATTAATGCGAGGCTTTATACAGACTGTTTAGTTAATCAGTCTTCATTGACTCGATCTTACGTGATCTTAAAGGGGTCATATGATGTTGTGTATTTTTTTGTGTATTTGGTGTAATGAAATGTGTTTATGCGGTTTAAGGTTCAAAAAACACATTATTTTCCACATACTGTACATTATTGTTCCTCCTCTATGCCCCGTCTTTCTGAAACGCGTCGATTTTTACAAAGCTCATCGGTCTGAAAAGCGAGGTGTGCTCAGATTGGCCAGCTATCCAGTGTGTTGTGATTGGCCGGATACCTCAAGTGTGTGACGGAAATGTTATGCCCCTTACCATATTGTGATGCCCTGTCCGGCCGGAGCGACGAGACAAAAACATTAAAAAAGCCATTATAAACGAGGCATTTGTTGCATCCAGTGGGGACATAATTAAGGAATATAATGACTTGTACTGTCTTTTTACACGCTGCGTTGCATCGCGCCGCGTAAACATAAAACCATGTCTGCATTTGTGATCGGAGAAATTACAAACAACAAGCACTACTCTACACTGCTCAAAACTCGCGTTTGAATCATCAGTGGCAAATCCTTTAAATGAAAACGTACTTACAGACTGTGAGTCAGAACAGCCGGCATTGTAGTCTACTCTCCCAGGATCAGGAAACAGTCCTCCATAAAATGCTGCACACATCTTAATATTTGGGTTGAAGTGTTCTGGAACAGTGTTGTAAATACAACTTAACCACTGATTTCTAGTCGTGTCCTTCCAAAAGAGCCGGCAGCTAGAGTGAGTGGCGGCCGGTAGATTCGACGAAGGAGCGTCCGGCGGGCTTGCGGCAACCACATGTGACGACCCCCGGGCTGGACTCCGCTTCGTCCACGGTGAAAGCCGATCTGGCGATCCACAGCACAAAGTTGTTGTATTTCCTCAGCGACCAGCACGGATCAGCTGTCGGCATGACAAAGCGGATATCGTCCTCTTTTGGAAGGCCAAACAAAGTAGTTTTGCTTTCACAACAAAACACACGGCAACAACAATACTACAGCGAGAATCAAAGTTACGCCGCCTTTCTTTGCGTGAACATTTGGGCCGCGTTATGCAAATCTTCCCACATAGTGACATAGACATGTGGGGGCGTGTTAGAACGAGCCGTTTTAGATAGGCGTGGCTGACTCTTAACTTTTATAAAGAATATCTCTTTGGATTTGAGACTTTAGTCTTTGCAACTTTACAGATCTTTTTTATGCACCAAGAGCTTGTAACACTCCAAAGAGAAAGGAAAAATTTAAATCGCATCATATGACCCCTTTAACAGCTTATAACTAGACTAGGACCTGATAAATGTATTATTTATATACTATTATAGTGTTTATAAGTATTTTTTAATATTTCTAGATATTTAGATTTAGAAACTTGCTTATTTCCAAATGTTTTATGCAACAATCTAATTTTGCACACAGGTTAAATTAGCAGCTTTGGATGGAAACCTGGCTATTGTTAGGTCAGGTTAGTTAATCCATTCTAACTAAAACAAACTTACTGTAAATTGTTTGCAACTTGTTTATTTCAATTAGTTGCCAAGACAGCCTTTTTAAATTTTTAAATTTTCATCTAATATTTATATATTTCTGCTTTATTTCAGTAACCAAGAACAGATTTTAATAGTTTTAGATAACAATAACAACACTGGATAAATGCATGTCATTTCACCCAAAAAATTTAATTAAATAAAATACAATAAATAAAAGCATGAATATAATCAGCTTACATAATTGTGTTGTACGTTTATGGTACCGTTTTATGGCGTCACCATATGAAAACTTATTCCGGTTTTACCAGTTTTCATTTTCTAGTCAAACATCACTATCGCTCACACTTACGGTTAATGTTTAATTGTTATTGCTCAAAGCTTTTTGAATTGAACCAACCAACCAAAAAATAAACACCTAAGAAAAAAAGTGACTGTGATTGGCAGTTTTAGTCTCTTTAGGTTGTCTCTTCAAATGTTAATTTGAAGGTATTGGAAAACATTTATTTATTTATTTATTTGCCTACCATTTAATAATACAAATAAAACTAATAGTAATAATAATATTTAAAATTACATGGCTTTGAGAACACTTTAGCAATTATATAGCAATGCTCTAGCAACAACGACACTCAGATTTACTTAAGAAAATGTAATGTCTTGTGTATGTCCATATACTGTACTTCATTAAGTCACTCTGCTGTCATTTTGTCTTTCTGCAGGTATCAGATAGTTGTGGAGATCATTCAGGCGACCACCATCAGCAGCATCCCACAGCTGAAGAGACAGAAAGGTAGGATGACCTTCGAACACATTGGCCAATCATGTCTCTTCTTATTTAGGAATACAAACTCTGAGTTGCTGCTTTTTTCCCTTTTTCCTTCATTTGACTCTAATGGTCAAGTTTTCAGGAAACTCAATTTGTGTGCTCCATTTTCATTTTGATGTTTTGTAATGTCCTGTAATGGAGTGTAATGGTCAGAAGAGCTTTGTGATGGACTGCTTGCCAGCAGTCAAGCCAGGGTATTATACCAAATTGAAGATGTTATCTTGGCATGACAGCACATGCTGTAAGCCACCTTATTTGCTCTGCTCTATCATGAGCTATTATGAAGCTTCTGCTCTTGCTGAAAAGAGCTTCTGTGTCTAGCCGCGTGCCGCTCTGTGATTGGCAGACAGGTAATTACACTGAAGCTGGTGCGGCGTGTGCTCGAGTAACTCTGCTTCCAGACAGTGGGCTGTAGTAGCCAGTGGCCATAAAACACATCAGCTGATACTTACAGAAATCATACTCTCCAATCACTTTAAATGTGTTTTGGTATTCGGTCGAACTCAGACTACTGGGAGGAAAATTAGGTGTTTTCAGAAAACAACACCTAAGGAAAAAATTACCAAAAATTACAATTTTGAATGATTAATTTTTGCCACTTTTCTACAAAAGAAGTCAATTTAAGAGTCTGTTTTTAATAAAAGAACAGTGAAAGGTGGTACTTTAACTTTTAAAAGTTTGTTTGTCCACCCCAGGAACCAAAGTAAATATTTTTCCCTTAAAAAAGATTGCTTTGTTTATTCTCCAGAATGGGCAACCAACTTGCAGTTTTAGTCTCTTTAGGTGTTAGCTAGTTTGCCACCAAATAAAGGTATTAATAAACTACTTATTTATTTGTTTTTTGTATTTGTGTTTTGTTCGTTTGGTCTTTAATTCATACATTTTTTGTTCATTTCTTTTATTTTTTCCTACAATGTTATGGAATGGGCCATTGTGTACTAAGGAGAAGCTCTTTTATTTATTTTATTTTCCATTGTGTTTACTAAGGAAGTCGTTTGTTTATTTATTTGATTATTTTATTTTATAGAATGTTCCATTGTGTTTGCTAAGGAAGAGGTTTTTTTATTTGCTTGTTTACTTTATTTAGTCATTTTTATTTATTTATTTTATTCTAGGGGTGCTCCGATTTATCGGCTACCGATGACTATCGGCCTATAATCACGTCTCTAAAAAGGCCGATCTCAAAAAAACGATCTCAAGCTGATAACGCTGCCATGCGAGGTTTGGCACGACATGCAGCGGTACCATCTCAGTCTCTGTCCGGCGCGGGTGAAATAATTATAATGCTGAAGCTGAGGTACTCACCTTCATATTTCTTCATTAAATAATTATAAAGTAATTTGAAAACCTTGTGTGAGACGTAATTTCACAAACAGCGTGAATGAATCACCGCGCGCGCTCTCTCTTTCTCTCTCAGAATATGCAAATGGATTCAAATCACCACACATCGCGTCTATCTATAAGCGAGCTGTACGCTGCACAGTTGACACGGGAATTGTCAGTTGCACAATCGAGGCAGTGTCACATCATCACTAAAGTTTATAAATTGCATTACTTTTAAATTCTTGCCATTGTTTAACCATTCAGTGCCCGTGCGCTCTCCTGATGCACATTCGCAGCGCACGCACGCACGCGCACACACACACACATAATCCCATGTTTTGTTTACATTACTCCGTTTGCAGTGCGTATTTTTTCCGCGCTCATGTTAACGGATTAATAAAGTGTGCACACTGCGCATTGGTTGCGGTCCAGCAGTGCGTTCCAGGAGCGGTGCGTCTGCAGCAGTGCAGAGATCGTTTCCGCACCGAGTCTATTGCTGCGCTGCAAGCGCTGAATTAAAGTAACAGCACATTGTTTGCAGTAAATATGAACATGGATTTACACGAACATTTAATAATTACAACATAAATGCATATTATTAAAGTCTGCTGTGTTTCACAGTCAACACATATGGCTTTTTGGCTAGGTTTAAAGGGAAAGAGCACTTTTATATAAACAAGGCAGTAATAGATGGCACTCGTGGAGGTAGGAAAACAAAGTTCTTTATGAACCGCAGGATTGCTTGTAATAAAGATTTCAATGCAAAAGGAAAGGCAGTAGAGCTGACTATTTCTGTCAATGGTTTGTTTGTGATAACGTAAGAAAAGTAGTTTAAATGTTTTGCCACTTGCTTGAGCAACTTAATATATCAATCTAGAAGTAAATGCAAAAGTAAAAAGCATTTAATAATGTGTTGCTTATATTTATTGTGTTTAAACATGTCTGTGAAAGATTGTATTACTGTACTGTGGAAAAAAAGATTTGCAATACTGAAAAAGCACTTTCAGTGACCGTGTTTGGATTTGAAATCAAAATAATGGATAAATGCTGTGTTTGTAGTAAACAGCCACGGATCAGTAGCGGACTCCTATGTGAAAGCACAGTCTGTGCTGCTTCCCCTCTCACAAGAGACACCTAAGAGAGGAATTCCCCCCATTTTCAAAAATGAAATTCAGGCTCTGAATAAAGGTCTAAAAATCCTGATTGGAGTATCACTATAAATAGTTATAAATTATAAAAAGAAGGCTTTAAAAAGATCGGTATCGGTGATCGGTATAGGCAGATACTGCTTTCTGTGATCGGCGATCGGTGATCGACCTCGAAAATCCTGATCGGAGCACCCCTATTTTATTCCATACAATTTGATGTAATGTTCCATTGCGTTTACTAAGGGTAAAATTATAAATTAAGTAAATAAATACATTTTATTTATTTGAGGCGGGACAGGCTATAATTAAAAATAAATAAATGGTTTTTAGTAGTATCAATAGTTTTTCTAACACTCTTCAGACTATGGCATTTGTGCTATTTTATTGCAAATTTTTCAAATCTGTTTAAACCACATCAATAGAACAGCCAATCAGAACAAGAGTTTAAACCGATAAGTATGTTCCCAGCTTCACAAATATATGACTAACAAAATGTATCTGGATATGAATGAGGAGGTTTTCTTTGACTAAATGAGCAAGTTTACTGCTGAACATCAACATTAGAGATAAAGTTAATTAATCGTGCCTTCATTTCAGTGCCAGATTAATCAAAGCTCATTTTATTCACACGGTGGGAAGCATTTATGTTGTGTTAGTTCTCGCAGAGAGTCAGGAAGGGGCTGTTTATTTGTCGTCATGTTTTCCGTCTCCTGCTGCCCTGTAATGGGCAAATCTATAAATCTTCCCGCTGGTCCAGCACAATGACACTAGCTATTAAAGGAAGGAGAGCAGGGAACTCTTGTGTAAAAGTCTCTCCCCTCCTCCCTGGTTTCCAGCGGCAGACGGAGCGTGCTGTGAGATGGACGCTGGTTGGCGGTGATTGCTCATATTTCCAGACTCATTGTGAGCTCTGTGAATGCCACAGGTAGCCACTTCACAGGAGCCCATGGAAAGTCAACAACTTTTACCTGTCTATGAAAAGTACCTAGTAGTACTAATAAACTGCATGTATAAAATAGGGAATTATTTAGTGGTGTCGTTTGTGTTGTACATTATTTTAAGTACTAAATTAATTGTATTATTGTAAAACTGTAAAATAAATGTCTTTTATATTGTTTGCTTTAAAATTCAGTGAAAAGTGCATTGGTTGCATATGTAATGAGCTGTCCAATGAGATATATAATATATTTTATATATATATATAGTTTTTTTATTTATTTTTTTTTCATTGGCATTTGGATCAAGGAAAGGAAAGTGTCCCGATGCGATGAGACAAAAGCAATAAAGCCCATTACATACGAGGCATTTGTTGCATCCAGTGGGGACATAATTACAGATTATAATGACTTATGCTGTCTTTTTATGCGTTGCGTTGCATCGCGCTGCGTAAACATAAAACCATGTCTGCATTTGTGATCAGAGAAATGACAAACAACAAGCAATAATCTACACTGCCCAAAACTCACGTTTGAATCATCAGTGGCAAATTCTTTAAATATAAAACGTACTTACAGTCTGTGAGTCAGAACATCTGGCATTGTAGTCTACTCTCCCAGGATCAGGAAACAGTCCTCCATAAAATGCTGCACACATCTTAATATTTGGGTTGAAGTGTTCTGGAACAGTGTTGTAAATACAACGTAACCACTGATTTCTAGTCGTGTCCTCTTTTGGAAGGCCAAACAAAGTAGTTTCGCTTTCACAACGAAACACACTGCGTCTCCACAACATGGCGGCGGCAACAATACTACATTGAGAATAAAAGTTACGCCTTCTTTCTTTGCGTGAACATTTGGGCGGTGTTATGCAAATCTTCCCACACAGTGACGTAGACATGTGGGGGCGTGTTTAAATGAGGTGTTTTAGGAGGGCGGGAACAAGTCTTAACTTTTATAAAGAATATCTCTTTGGGTTTGAGACTTTAGTCTTTGCAACTTTAGGGATCTTATCTATTCACGAACAGCTTGTAACACTGGAAATAGTAAAATCGCATCATATGACCCCTTTAAATACAACTTTTTTTATTTTAAATGTTTAATGTACACTTTTTAAATTATTTATTTGGTTATTAATTAATTAATTTGTTTGTTTGTTTATTTGTAATCTAATTTTTCATTTTATTTTATATTAATTTTTTATTAGTTTTTCCCTACACTTTCATGGAACGTTTTGTGTTATATTTATTTGATTGATTTATTTGTTTGTTAATTTTTTGGAACCTTAAAGTATTTTGCTTTACATTTTTTGCTATTTATTTACTTTTTCAATGGGAGTTTTTAACCTTGGAAATCAGGAATTAGTTTAGAAAAGTGCATGTTTTTAAACAAGTTGAGCAGTGTGTCAAAACTTATTTCAGTTTGTTTGTGTAATTGCTTGATGTCTATGTATATCTCTGTGTGAAAGTGACACAGGTGAAGCAGAAGGAAATGAAACACACTGAGCCATTCACATCATATCAGCTCCAGTCATCAGAGCTAGTTTCTCTCAGTTATCTATCACAGCTGATTCCCGTGAGATTGCACATCTGAATTCTCTCTCTCTCTCTCTCTCTCTGCAGACAGTAAAGGGAAAGAGGCCGCCGCGCTGAAGGCCGACCTGTTACGTGCCAGAAACATGAAGCGTTACATTAACCAGCTCACAGTGGCAAAGAAGCAGTGCGAGAAGCGGATCCGGCTCCTCGGGGGTCCTAACTATGAGCAGCAGGAGGACGGAGCCCAGGATGAAGGGGACGGTCCACAGAGCCAACGGGTACAAGAAGAAATTACAGTCACAGAAACACCATATCAAAGCCAATATGAAATCACACATTTATTGAATTATTTTCTGCATCCTGTAGCTGACGTAATGAAATGAGAGGATGTGATTTAAGAACTCTTAAAATGATACATTTAGATGTTTTTTATGCCATTTTAAGATATTTAAGAATTTTTATGACTGTTTACATACATTTTACAGTTCACACATATGTGTTTAGTGAAACGCTCGCACTGTCGAGCCCTGATATAATGGAGTTACTCTTGTTTTTCTGTCTCTTTTTATCTCTCTGATCAGTGTAGAAGCATGTTATGACAGGAAGCCCTTACTCTATCTGAATTCAGTCATATGACATGCTGTTGTTGTCTCAGTAGCTCTAGGCCCTAGTAGGCCGTCCCGTCCCACACGATAGGCCTGTCTCTGAATGCCCCTAATGATCCGGTCGAGAGCAACACACTGATATGAGGCTCATAGAGCGTGTTGGGTTTCATACGCTAGCTTAGAAGAACACAGAAACCTCAGTGTGTAAAGCTTAAAACATCACTGCATATTGATGAACAGTAGCTGCTGCTTGGAAAAAGTAACAACATAAATGTTTTTTTTTTATGCAAAGCAGACTGTTAACTGCGAAAATGATCATGGTTATGATATCATGTCATAGCATTAGGGTGCTTTCACACTTGGTTTGATTGCTTGGTCTGAACCCGAGTTCGATTGCTCCCCCCTCCCCCTGCCCCCGCTGGACTGTGTTCACATTATATTATTTGGGTCCGAACCGCGGTTCGTTTGCTTCATCAAGCCAGCAGCTTTTCCCCCCGTTGCTTAGTAACGATGGCGCAGGAGAAGACGGCAAAATGCGTAGCAAGGCTCTCTTCAATTTTATATTTATGTTTTTGAACCGTTGGCTTTGTTTCCAAAGCTTCAGTACATAACGGCACTTACGTCTGCCTTACGAATGTACTGCAAATGCTCTAAAGTACTCTGAAGGTGAACAGAAATGAGATATACAGCTCTCTGCTTGCAGCGCGCCAGTCACGCTCTTCAAGAAAGTGAGTGAAACACACACACAAACACACATTTTTATCAAATAATACGT